ATTGTTTATATCTTCTTAATTATTATTGTCAATCAATTGAACTGCCACCTCAAACTAGATTTTAGTACATCATGTATATATATATATATATGATTCATATAACAGACAATTTTATATCTACCTAATTACTAATACAGATGGTTCCCTTTTGCTAAATTTAATTTGTGGTTTAACTGATGTAATTACATAGATGATTGTTTTGTGACAATTTTTGCGTCTCAAAAGAATTAGTTTCCAATTATTAGTTAGGTATATAATTTACTTTGAATAATGGCCCCGTATAATTACTTTTTCATAGAGGGAAAAAAGTGTAAGTTAATCTTTTTTAATCATTTTGACTGTTACGCATTTCTGTTATGTCAGAAATTATTTTCCTGTTGACTTTGATACAATAACAATAAAATTTGAGGATGAAGAAACAAGTTGTGAGTAAGAAAAGAAAATTGCTTAAAAAATGAAAGCGCCTTTTGGGTTAACAGAAAAGTCTAAACGGGAGAGGAAATTATGTACGCGTGGTGGCTCTTGTGAAGGTTAAATGGTTGTCCACGAACGTATACTATATATGTTGCATGATTGCATCATTCATGAGATAGTAAATTAATTATATACCTACTTAGATGTGGCCTGACTCTTTTACCATTATCTTTGTGGAATGTGGATGATATGCATTCCATGTTTCATGTTGTCATGAATGAAGACACATTATGCTCAACCAAGCAGTTATGATTATTGTGACACCAAACCTCAAAGCTTACAGTATTGAATATATGCACAACAGTTTAGTTCATATTTTATGTTTCTACTAAAAAAATTAAACCACTTTAAGTACTTCCATGTGCAGCAAAAAAACATAGCTATAGCTTTAGGGTTTTTCTTAAACTATATTTAACTTAAGACTGATAATAAGGCTATGTTTGGTTTTACTGTTTTTTTTTTTTTTTCTACAAAAGGCATGTTGAAAATATCACTCTCACATGTCATTGGCGTTCAATGTAATTCAAAAGTTTACCAAACGCACTCTCTTTCTCCAAATATATTTTTCATATTAAATCATTAAAAGAAAACTTAAGCACTACCCTCGCGCGCAGTCCATACTTTATTGTATTCATTCTTTAGATTATAAGCAAAGTTATTGAGACAATTTAAATAATTTTATCAACAAGTATTGCTAGAAAAAGACAGATAAAATGGGTTGAGAGAAATAAAGTAGATTAAATTTTTAACAGATATTAAAATTAATTTATACATACAAATTAAATATTTTAAAAAACTTTCTTATTTAAATTTTTTTTATATAGCTCATTGTAACTTTTTTTCATGTTTCATCGTTTAACTTGTCTACGAATAACAAATTTAAATTTATAAGCTGCCTGATACTCATACTTATTTTGATTTTACACCAAAGTGATACTTGTTCTAATTGAAAGTCTCATAAATTAAAAGCTAATTTAAACTAAGCCTATATTAACAGTGATTATAATGGAATGAGACACATTTAATTTTTTATATATAGATGTGAAATTGAATATGGGAGTAGTGCAGTGGGGTCATGCATTTGGCTCAACTTGTAAGTTGTAACTGGCATTCCACTTGTATTATAAGATATCTTTAGTTTTTGTTTGAAGATTCATAGACATAAGTATGTATAAACGAACATGATGCTTTCCTTATCTTCTTCCAATTGTGCAACAAAAATGGCTGGCGGGCCCCTCCTGTCCATATCAATATACTTATTTGCCTCTTTAATCAGAGGATGCGTAGCATACGATTACTTGCCATAATTTTATTATATTTTCTGAGATGAGGTTGGGCTTATTCATCCAAGAAAATGTACGTAAACAAAAGTTATGGGTGCTTAATTAATTAGTGCTGATTATGCGACATCACAGAGCACATGCATGACACGACGAAATTTGTCTATATCATATGTTGGTGTAGCAATAAAATTTGAAAAGAAAAAAAGATATCTATCAAATATTGTATCCAAAATCTTTAAATATCTCAATTTTTATTTGAACCGGTATACATTTAACAAAAGATGGATACTTTAATGTAACTAATACATGGTCATCAAATTAAGAGAAATAAAGAAGACGTATAATCCTTACATGCTCTCAGTCACTGTCGACACTCTGACAGATATATATATATATATATACAATTGCATAAGTTTTTATAACGTTCAAATACCAGCAACTTATTAAGGATTTCATACATTACAAGAATATTTTTATATTTACAATAATGTAATATATATATATACACACAAAGAAAATGACAAAAAAGTAAAATAAAAACTAAGTAGTTTAAATTTATGGGGGAAATTGTTTTTAAGTAATTTGAGAAAAACATTTCATATAAAGAAAAGAAAAAGAAAAAATATTACAGTATTGACTAAAGACTTAGAAGAGTCTCAACATTCCATTTCAAGAAATAACTATACCCCCAAGAAGGGTTTTTTTAACACTTGAATTTTTAGGACACCACAACACGTATCTATACAATAGGGTATTTCAACTTTCAAAACAACATTTTTCCTCTAGTCCTAAATCCACAACATAATACAAATGCATACATAAAACATCACATCAACATATTTCACACAATAACTTGTCATTTACATATATCAATACAACACTATACAATAACATGCCTCTTATATGTCCAAACATAATACTACTCATCCACATACTACTCATGCATTCACAACACACTATACAACAATATATAACTTATATACACTCAACACATACACGCTCAACATTATCTATTATGCTTGGCGACCACACCTGACATCACTTTCCCATGCTCGATGTCTATGAGGTAGAAAGTCTTTGACTCACTCAAGTCCAACAACTATCCTTCCAAGTCAAAGAGCTCCTAAAGCAATTGTGTCTGGAGCCCTTCAATCTACATTCGACATAATCAAGTTAGAGAGCTCCCACAACTGACACATGTTCAATGCTACCTATCCCGCACTTGGTGTCAGTGAGATAAAGAGTCTTTAACTTACATCATGTACAATGCCGTACGTGAGGCTGCAATCTCACTTCCAATCCAACGTGTAACAAGTAATTCAACACTTGTGCAACCTATACAACTTAATTTCATCAAGAAATACAACATGCAATAATACATGAACCAAACCAATTCTTCTTGAAAACACCAAAAACCCCAAGTAATAAGATACACCCTTCTCAATTCAACAACATAACCACAAAATATGTAATTCAATTGAAATCAACATATATAATATAACAATAATTGATCTACAAGCTTCTATTATCTCAAATCACCAAGAAAAGAGAAAAAAGAAAGAGAAATAACAAAGAATGTTATTCTGATCTATCATCGCACCACGATCCTGACTCCTGATCCTCAACACTCCAAGCTTCAAAACCCTACTCAAACACATCACCACTACTCCATAAAGAAGGATCTAATACTCTTATAAAGTCAAAAAAAGAGAAAATAAATTTCTCTAACCCCAAAACTTATCTCACTAATTTCTCTATAAATTTTTTGAAAAATGGACTTATGAAATTTAAATCTTAAGAAAATTTTATATATTTTTTCCTAAATTTGGTCAACTCTGACCTAAACTCATAACAACTTCTAAACAACTAAATTCTTAAAAATTACTTAATCCTTGCAGTTTAAAACTTTAAAACAAAAAATCATATAAATAATTTATTTAATAAAATTAAATAAATAATCAAACAATTCATAATGTTAGATATTCGTTTAAAATATCTTTATTTAATATAAGATAGAAATATTTTTTTTTAATTGAAATAGGTTTTCCAGGATAGTATGATTTGCAAAGATCAAATATAATTATTTTAAGTAGAGGTTTATGTGGAGAGAAAAAAAAACTAATAATACTTTAAATTTGTAAAAGCATAAGTAGTTTTTAAATAAGGAGTTCAAGTTTGAAACATATGGAGTAACAATTTAAGACACACTCATTATTAGGAGTGAAAAATAATAAAGGTCAAGACAAATTAATCTTGAAAGATCATATATTAAATAAAAAATATTTTTCAAAAATATCATTAAATAACGTAAAAATAATTAATTTTATTTATATTTGAAAAATGTATGCTTTTTTTTTTAAGAATAAAGAACATATAAAATATACAAGAAGAGAG